TTAGCTTTGCTGAGTTTTACTTGTGCATCCCAAATTTAGGCACATAGTTGGGGAGTTTGGAAAATGGTAATATCTTGTTCAGAACCGTAGGCCTATGCCGTGGAGTTACGGTATTTGCACTGTAGGCAAGATAATCCGAACCAAACTTTGCTTACATACACAATCCGTGCAGAAGGTTTGGAGTCAGCTACCGTATCCAGCAAATCGATGATCCAACGGTTTTGCGCTTTTTGCCAGACTGCCGAAGACTAGTGTGCAAGCGTATCCTGCTACACTGATCACAAATATGATAAGTCCCCCCATCTCTCTCTATTCCCCTTCCTGTTTCACCTTTTCATTTCAGGAAAACCAATGGACGTATTGCAAACTCAAGCACAGGGTCTATTGACATGTTAGTGAATATGAAACGATTGTACTTGACTCTAAAGGTCCTATACGATAAGTGAGATGAAGTTATAAAAGTGAATTTGAAAGAAATTTCTAGCTGAAATTGAGTCAACATAGCCTGCTTATTTCAATTATCACGTCGGCGTGAAAATCACTTTATATGCTAGAATCTGGCGCACTGATGCTTGGATCTTACACCTCTGCGAGCATTGCATCCCTCACATACATTGCTATTGTACATATAAGCTCGCTTCCAGCTTTTACCAAGATGTCATTAATGCTTTGGTTTCATTTACTACCAGGGTATGCGGTGTACTTAGAAGGTCGAAGACACATATTGCTATATTTTGTTTCAATTCCAGCTCTTTTCTTTCTCACAAAGACTCTCTCGCAGACTACATACAATTTTGGTGAAGGCACATCAAGTCATTTCTCTAACTACTTTTCAAACGAATCTCTTTCTTTACCCATATATACCGTACTATAATAGAATCATAGCGCCGGAATAGTATAATATTAGACAACCCTTAGACCATTTCCTAAATAACCTGTGATTTGGTCACTCGCCTTACCGTAACTACGCTGCAAAACACGGAGAGGGAAGGATATTATTTTCTACTCAACATATAAGTGAACTTCCCTCCCCGACCAGACGCTTATGCAATAGATTCGTGAATTGTTCTAA